ATCTCCACCTTGGCAGCCGAGGCTCTCTCGGCAGAAGACGCCTTGGATGTAAACTCTGCCACGAGACACCGGATTCAAGAGGCATTGAACATGCAAGAGCCTCCACTTGATGTTCTGCTTGCCGACAGTTGGTCCTTCGTAGCCAACATCTACTCTGCTACGCCACACCGTTCGGACGAAGATCTTACTCAAGCGTTCCAAAGAGTTCGTGAAGTTGTCCTTTCATGGGTTCTGGAACACTGCGACAAGGCACTTTCTTTGGAGTTGCTCTGGATGCCAAATTGTGAAATGGTCGCTTATCCTCCTACCAAGGACAAGTCCAAACCAAAGAGAATTCTAGCACGTATCCGTTCTGGTACCCTAACGTTCATCTCAGCAAGCCAGCCGGTCACCGCACCGCCAGCAAATGCCAACGCAACGGCGACTGCCAGACCTTCGCGCCTGGGCTTCCCAGCTGAGGGAAACGCGGTCGATTGTGCCACGGTTGCAACTGCTATCGGCGCCAGGGTGCGGGCAGCGCCCGATTGCACGAGCAAGGCTCGACCTCCGCATCCACGTGCTTGTTCGAAAGCAGGCCTGCCAGCTCCCCCTGCAGGGCGCACAGCCGAAGAGCAGCTCGCGGCGCTTCCGCCGGCACGTCGCCTGAGCGGCGTGGAGCGGCAGCTCCAACGCACAGCTTTGAGCATGATGTGTGCCGAGCGCAGGGCCATGCAGAAGCTGCAGATTAAGCAGGATATTTCTCGGGGGCGACAGCTCGAGCGGGCACTGGATCTTGAACACAGGGAGTTGCAGGTAGCGCAGAGAGCAGTCTGCATGGATAAGCGCAGCAGGGATGCTGATAATGATGCCTGTGGCAAGCCACATCAATACCACGAGCACCTGTACCGCCGAGATGTTCAACAATTTGGCCATCACGTGGCCGCCAGGAAGCTCCGGGACAGACAGAAGGCGAAAAACGACAGGGACGACTGGGAACAACGTCGTGGTAGGCATGCTTGCCGGGCACATAGTGCTGCTAGCGTTCCTGCTTACGTTTCGGACCGTAGAGAACCAGAGACGCCGCGTCCTGTCACTCCACGAGGGAAATCTCGCAGCAGAGATGATAAATCTAGTTCGTCTCGTTCCGATACGTCAGGGTCTTCCGGAACAGTGTCGTGCGATGGATACGATAAAACCACCAATGACAGGAACCGCGTCTCCACGAAGGAACACCGGGTATCAGAGCTCTGGCTGCCCACTGACAGGAACACGAAGAGGCCTCCTCCGAGCGCAGCCCGGAAAGCAAAGAACGCCGCGAATCGCGCCGAGAAGAAAAAAACAAATTGGACGACGACAACAACTACGGACTGAACTCTGGGCCAGCCTTTGCCCACTTTTGGAAGAAAAGAGGTTGAAGATGTGGAGCGACTTCATCCCTCTTCTAGTCGTCTTGTCCATCCGTCTCTTCTCTCCCCCGTTTCTCGTGCTGCCCTTCACTTCTCACGACCGCTGCCGTTTAGGATCCTTGAGCCGCTCGCCGCACGCCCCGCGGAAAGAGCGAGCGCCCGGCCCTCCTGGAGAGCCCTGCCGGGCATTTCGTTTCCCTGGAGCTCTCGCGCCTGGATGGCGTTCGTTCGAGACATCCTCTCTTTTCACGCGCTAGCCTTCCAGGCGCCGCCAGGCGCTCTCAGAGACCTCTCCAGGAGCCCACTGGGCCGGCTTTGCAAGGCACTGGTCTCATGGTCACCCTCCTTCAGGCCACTTTGAGCCGTTTCAAATGCCTTTCCCCATCTTTTCGAGCCACATACACCAGAACAACAAGCATGGTGAAACACATAGGATATTGATGATTCTGGCCTTCTCGCACTTCTCCTTGCGCCTCTCTCGGAGCTCCCGTGCATCTCCGCTGGCTCTCGCGGCTATCTTAGAACCTGGGCATGCGCTCTACGACCGTCCTGACAGCCTCTCGGACCCATCTTGGGCCGTCTGGCCGCCTTCTTGGCACCGTGTTTCGCCCATCTGGGGCGCCCTCTCAGAGCCTCCGGGGGCTCTTCCCGGAGCCGCAAACAAACCGGGACTGTTTCGTTCCCCTTCCTGCATTCCGGCTCCTTCTTGGGCCCCTCCAGAGGTCCCACTTGGACGAACCCGACAGTTTTTTTAGCTTCTCCAGCCTCTCTGCAGCCGTCCTAGTCTCAGGGGTCATGTGAGAGACACTCCTCGGCGCGCTTTCTAGGACGAGCCCGACGGTTTTTTTCAGTTCCTCCAGCCTCTTTGCGGCCGTCCTGGCCTCGGGGTCATACGACACGGGGCTCGCTGCGTTCAGTTCCTCCAGCCTCTCTGCGGCCGTCCAGGGCTCAGGGTCATACGACAGAGAGCTCGCTCAGGAGCCCAATCTCTTCTCCATGGAGCCCCACGAGGCCTCCAAGCGGAAGCACCAGCACCAGCACCAGAACATCTCCGATTCGCGTGCGCGGAGCGGCCGCAGCTCCCACAGAATCTCCAGGATCCAAAAAAGGGTGGG